CCCCCCCCCCCCCCCCCCCCCCCCCCCCCCCTTTTCCCCGCTGCACCGATATTATAAGCATATGGATTTCTAATTGTGTATACGTTAGTTACTGAGATAGCAGCAGCTGCTGCTCTGTTGCTAATCGTAATAGAACATAATCGACGTGCATCAGCAAGATGCTACAGGTGATCCATCACTACACCATTTCGCCATAGTTCATTATTCACTATAAAAATGCTACCAGCACACGGATTGACGATGTTAGAAAAGCGAGGCACTGGTTACTACCCTCTTCTTTTCCTCCACAGGCCTTTGAAGCCCGTACTGCCTTTTACTTCATATTTTTATGCTATGTGTAAATGCAAAAACGCATAATGGCAAGAGGCCATCTGTGTGTGTGTTCGCACTTTCTGTCACCCACTTTCAACTCGAGAAGCAAAAAAGCTAGAAGACTGGAACTTCGGGAGTATGTGCCCGCACCATGTGCGACTCTACCTTTTAATATCATCACCTGCGTATGCTTGGTTCTCAGGCACGAACGCCTTAAAAAAAAATTATGCAAATTTTTTAGAAGGAAAGCAATCTCGGGAACCAGATAAGGTAGATAGCTGAATTTTTGCAACGCTATTTCCTGTGCATGCGTGAGTTAAACATTTCAATTTCAGTCCCCAGGTGTTCGTAGTTCTCACGTGCAGACACGCAAAACATCTGACGAGAAAATTGCTAACTCGGTAACCAGAAAAACTGGAAGACTAAAATTTTAAGGGGATGTTCCCTGTTCACGTACAATTTAAAGATTTCAAATTCAACCCCTAGCACGCATGGTATTCACGCATGTGCGATGTGAAAGTTCTAGCGGGAAAATTACTAACTCGGGTAAAGCCGGAAAGTTAAAATTTTAGGGGAATATCCCCCGTCCAAATACAACTTTAAGATTTCAAATTCAGCCTTCATTCAGCCATCAGTGGTTCTCGTATGCGGGCGCTTAAAAGTTTTGGCAGGAAAATTGCTCATTGAACAGCTAGGTTATTTTCAAAGGACGACCGCTAAATAGAAACTGTTCATTTTCCTTTATGCAAAATTTACGATGACTTACGGTAGTGAGCGCACAAGGTAAGTGTGAAGCAACAACCATTCATGCAGTTAACGACCTAATTCAAGCCTGGTGCAAAAATGCATTATCGCACCGGCAAGCTTTCAACTTGGATTTTTTTTTAAATTAATGCCACGCACTTTCATTTTCTGCTCAAGTTCATTTGCTGCACTTCATTTTACTAGTCAAAAACAGCTCGAATCTATTTTCGAATCAGAGTTTGTGTAAAGAACTTCCCTCATTAATTCCCGCAACAGTTTTATGGTTGTGGTTATTAGCATATCGATAGTATAATAGCAGTCAACAGGAGGATGGCGCAAGAGTTGCGTAACAGCTCATGCACGTAATTATGCTTGGATGAGAACTATATCCATATAAACACTCATTAATCGCACTCATTTGGTAGATGCAAAATCTCATTTTGATTGATTACATTGTACAAATCGCCTGCCATTCAAAGGGAAAACTGTGAGCTCTCGGCCGAGAATACAGGACTGCTTGCTTTCACTCCAAATCCAATACCAGAATTTCAAGCAACCACTCGTAACAGCCATACTGGATTCTCGCACCAAAATGAGAATCTAAGCGAGCAGCGCGACTCAGTTCGTAGGAGAACACTCACGTGGAGTGAGGAACAGAATTCCAAGGAGGCCGAATCTGAGGCAAATTCACAAGGAAGACCGAATCTGTACCAAACTGACAAGGAAGACCGAATTTGAGCCAAAATTACCGAAATGCTGAGCAGTTGCTGTGCCCATAATTCAACCCCTTCTGTTTCATGTTACACGGTTCCGCTTATTATATATCCCCTGTCTTCATTACACGGTGCATTCATTCGGCCAAATAATTGTTGTTTGATTGCGACTTATAACGAACAAAAATATTGTCAATCCGAGATGTAAACAGAAAAGAGAGACGGTGTGAGATTTTCAAAAGTGATTAATGTCTTTTGTTGTCGCATTTTGAAAATCAAGCAACTCAACGTGTTGCAAAATTTACCCTGATTTTATCAGTTGTAAATCAGCCGAAACAAGAACTATGCCACAAATGATAAGAATCTAAACCTTTCTGAAATCAACTTAAACTTTGCATTCCCTATAACATAACTTCACGTATATCATTGTTCAACTTCGAT